ATTTCAACCTTTTTCAATTAAACAATCATTACGCACAGGTTTGACGACTTGCTTAGGATGTGAAAAAATTTAACGCGGAAAATCCACAGTGGTTTTTTCATGAAGAGTTGCCTATTAAGGCATGTGAATTTTACATTTTTATAGAATTAATTATTCACTCGCCTAAATATTTCATTATAAGGGAAAGAAACATGTTGACCAAGAACAATGATTGAAATCGGGTCACTAATCTCATCCGTTTCAAGGGATGTTTTCCGCCCCCCCAGTTTTCCGTCCACCACCCGCCACTGCAAACGAAGAACAAAACATGGCAATGCCATTAGAGAATGACTCAAGAGGTTCCTCGTAGTAGCTTCGTGGGACAATAGTAGTAAGGCATCCCCCTTAACTTGCCTACTTAAGTGGGAAACATGTCTTACTTAATAAGCAAATTCTTAGTGTAACAAAATGCCCCACAACCTGTAGCAAACTACCCCTCAGCAGGTGACAGGGGTCTATTTTTTCCTCACCAGCATCACGCATGCGCAGAATATAGGGGTTGCTGCAGATCAGTCATGTACTCTAATAAACTTTCTATCTGTACAGTGCATATTGGTAACAAAAACCTGATGTCAATTCTCCAGCCGTTAAAAGACAAAGTGTAACAACTAGACCCGGTCTCCCCTATAGCTGATTATTTCAGTCATAATGGCAAATTTATTGTTCTTGACGCCCTTAAAATCTTGCTGTAAATCTTTATCGTTGGGTGATATTTTTTATTACATTATGTAACTTTAGCTGACGTAGAAAAAATCAGATTGGCATACAGAAAAACACAACTACGAGACCATGAAGACGACGGCAGGCAAAGGGTAACATACATGCACGTTTTGCGTTTTCAAAATTCTGGTTCCACGTCGCCAGTTAAATGTAGGCCTACATTTCAGAAAAAAGAAATGAGTGACAACAATGTTTTATATAACTGATGCATAAAACAGAGAGAAGACTCCAGCTGTAACACCGATAATTTCTATCGATAAACTCTATCTATAGTAAATGACGGAAAACGGGGAGAAGGCGTTAACCGCATATAAACTGTCACATCGACAAAATCTGCAATAAAAAACTCAGAACAGTTGACTACAAACAGAAATTCTTGGATTGCAAACATTTTATAATGAACAGAGTTAAGTTTTATATGAATGGCGTTCAGTTTTAGATGAACGCATCAGGCCTTGGGCAGGCATCGGGAAATGAACGCATCAGAGAATGAACAGAAGGGTGTTCATTATCAAACACAGTGACCAGGTTTGCAGGCTCGAACGCATCCAAAAATGAACAGGCGTCCGTTCAAAAATGAATATGTTCACTGTTCAGAATATTGACAAGCTCCCTTAAAAGTGAACACATAAAAGTTCTATTGGTGATTTCAAGTGTTGTGTTTGTATTTGTGATCTGTTGCTGTTAACTGTCAGTATGAAATCCACTGCATTGATGCAAACATTATTAGGCTGAAAATCTTAAACAAACTCACCAGAGAAAAAGGAAAACTATTTGGTAGGGCTAACTGAACTAATCGGTACCGTCTTAGAAATAAAAAAGCACCCAATGAGCTCAGGAATACAAAAAGGCCAAGAAAACTATGGTAAACTATGGGGGATGACAGAAAAATTCCGTCAGTGGTTCAGAAAAACTCCTTTACAACAGTTGGCCTGATCAAGAACACTCAAGACCAGCCTCCAGGAGGTAGGTATATCCGTGCAAGGGTCACCAATCGATTTCACTCGAGTAAAATATGGAGGGTTTATCTCAATTAGTAAGGTAAGGCTAAAAATGAGAAAATTGCCCAAATAACCATCTACAGTATAAACAACATCGAACAACATGCTGTGGCCAGATTAGACAAAGATGAACTTGTTCCAGAAAGATGGGAACAGAAAAAATGAAGGATGGAAGGAAGTGCTCATAATCCGACACATACTACATCCTGTGTGAAAAGTGGTCATGAGTGGGCATGCACAGTGGGCTCCAAAATTACTGGCACCCCTGACTGGCAATGCACAAACAATACATACAAAATATGAACAACATAATTATAGAGAAATGGAATATACAAACATTTGTGACATACTTTATTAATATTTCAATGGAAACAACCAAAATCATAATAATTTAATACAAAATAAATTTTAACAAAATTGAGGTTTCATAATTATTGGCACCCTTCATTTAGTACTTGGTGCAACCACCTCTGGCAAGTACTTGTGTAACAGCATGGAGTCTGTTCCTGTAATTTTTGACAAGGTTAAGGCACACATTTGGGGGGATTTTGAACCATTTCTCTCAGCAGATCCTTTCAAGTTCCTTCACATTCTTGGGTTTGCATTTATCAACTGCCCTCTTCAACTCCGCCCACAGGTTTTCAACTGGATTGAGATCTGGTGACTGAGATGGCCATTGCAGAGGGTTGATTTTGTTGTCAAAGAACCATTTCTGTGTGGATCTTGGGGTATGCTTTGGGTCATTGTCTTGTAGAAAAGTCCACCTACAGCTAAGTCCCAGTCTTCTGGTGGAGGCAACCAGATTGTCAGCTAAAATATCATGATACTTGGTGGAATTCATTATACCATTAATCTTAACCAGTACCCTTCAACCTCTTGAATTAAAACAGCCCCAAAACATGACTGACCCAACATCATATTTCACCGTGGGTGTGAGGTGCCTCCCCATGTAGGTATCTCTGATTTGACGCTAAACATGCCGATGCTGCATCTGACCAAAACATGCAATTTTGGTCTCATCTGACCAAAGCACCTTGTTCCAGTCATAATTTAAATAACATTTAGCAGACTTCATGTGCTCGCTTCTGTGTCCTCTGGTCAGAAACTGCTTTCTTCTGGTAGGCCTACCAAAGAGCCTGTGGTTGTGGAGGTGGTGCCTGATGGTGCTTTTCAAAACCTGGTGACCCCAAGATGCCACCAAGGCCTGCAGTTCCTTCACAGTGATTCTTGGGGATTTTGTTGCTTCTCTCTCCATCCTCCTCATTATCCTGGGCACAGAATGTAGTTGTGTCCTCTACCTTTGAGGTTTTCAACAGTTCCATATCTTTGGAATTTTTTTAAATAATTGCCCTGACAGTGCTCAGTGGCATATTCAATTGTTCTTTAATCTTCTATAGCCATTACAAGATTTATGAAGGTCAATGACCATCTGCCTCTTTTGAATTGACCATTGTTTTGTTTTCTTAATAGTGCTGGATGACAAAGGGATATTGCATGTGTGTTACCTCATTTTTATATCCTAATGAAACAGGAAGTGATGGAATGGCTCAATATAGTTCTTTAACACTTTAATAAAAGGAATGTAATACCTGGTTTAATTTTGGTAGATGTTATTTACAATTATCTGTAAGGGTGCCATTAATTATAAAACCTTGATTTGGAGGAAATTGATTTTTAATTAAGTCAGTGAATGATTTAGGTTGAATACACTGGAACATTAATATCATACAGTATTTTCACGATGCAATTTAGAATTTCTGTATAAATATATTTTGTAAAATTTTTTAAAGTATTTTTTTTGCGCATTGCCAGTCAGGAGTGCCACTAATTTTGGAGCCCACTGTATGACAGCCACTTGAGCTGGTTTCTTCTTATTTACTGGAGATGTGACTGTTGACTAAAGCTGAATGATGAACTCCTTTTTGTATAAGACTGTATTGCATGCTAGATTTAGCCAAATGCCTCAGAACTCAATGGACAGCATCTCAATGCAGATGGATAATGACTTAGAGGCATACTGCAAAAGCAACCTAAGATTTTTTCAGACAAAGATCCAGACAAACTGGATCATACTGAGCATGTATTTCACTAAATGAAGAACAAACTGAAAGCAAAAGACCCGAACGACAAAGCAGGAACTGAGAATTGCAACAGTGAAGGCCTAGCAGAGGATCATCAGGGAAGAAACCCAGACTTCAGAGAGTCCTTGATTGCAAAGGGATTGCCATTGAGTATCAAAAATTACATTTTTGTGTAATGGGGGGGTTGTGCCTAAAGTGGGTGTAATTCCTACATTTCTCATTCAATATTTTTTTCCAAACCCTTAAGTTTAAACTACAAGTCTGCTATTCAAGCACATGTTGTTTGTTTCTTTTCAAATCTATTGTGGTGGCCTACAATCAAAAATGTGTTGCTTTCAAAATATTTATGGATCCAACTATGCATAATCACATTAAGGATGCTTTCATTTCTTATGGCAAGGAGGAGAGTTTCATGCACTGTGAATGAGCAAGCCCAACAGAGGAGGAAGTATGTAGAGGACAGTAGCAAAGTCCATGGGGCTGCTGTTGCAGTCTAAAGCAAGCAGGATACGAATTATCGAACTGACCAAGTTAAGTGCTCTGTTCACTGAACATGTCTAGGTTATGCATGTATTTGTGCATGTTTAACTGCATTTGTGCAGATACAGTGCCCTCCATAATTATTGGCACCCCTGGTTAAGATGTGTTAAAAGCCTTAAAATAAATTCAATTTTTATTGCAGAAGCATACTCTCACACTGAAAATTGTAGAAAAATGTAACCTTCAACTCAAGTGAATTTTAAGGGAAAAAAAAAATCCCTGACTAAGAAATAATTATTTTTCATAAAATCACCTGTTCCACAATTATTGGCACCCCTAACAATTCCTAGGAAATAAATGTAATTGAAGTATTTCTGTCATTTCTACATTCATTCATTCATTTTCTATACCCGCTTATTCCTCACTAGGGTCGCGGGGCGAGCTGGAGCCTATCCCAGCTGACTACAGGCAAAGGCAGGGACCCACCCTGGACAGCTTGCCAATCCATCGCAGGGCGCACACACCATTCACAGACCATTCACTCTCACAGTCATACCTTTGGGCAATTCAGTGTCTCCAATTAACCTGATATGCATGTCTTTGGACTGTGGGAGGAAACCGGAGTACCCGGAGAAAACCCACGCGAACACGGGGAGAACATGCAAACTCCACACAGAAAGGCCACAGGCCGGATTCGAACCCACAACCTTCTTGCTGTGAGGCAGCAATGCTAACCACTGCACCACCGTGCTGCCCCAGTCATTTCTACAGTAGTTTACAAAGTTGATCAGAGTATCTAGGAACATTTAATTAGTAATTAATCACTTCCTGTTTCCCTGGGGTATAAATATGACGTGACACAGAGGCCATTTCTCTTATCCACTCTTCAACATGGGAAAGACAAAGGAACACACCATTCAAGTAAGGCAGATGTGTGTCGACCTTCACAAGTCATGCAATGGCTACAAGAAAATAGCCACTTGCCTGCACCTGCCCATATCTACTGTCAGAGGAATCATTAAGAAGTTTAAAACAACTGGAACAGTGGTAAACAAGCCTGGACGAGGACGCAAGGTTATTTTGCCACCACGCACAGTGAGGAGGATGGTAAGAGAAATTAAAAGTTCTCCAAAGCTCACTGTTAAAGAATTGCAACAAATGGTAGCATCTTGGGGTCACAAAGTCTCCAAAACAACCATCAGGCGCTATCTACATGCCAGCAAGCTGTTTGGGAGGCATGCATGGAAAAAACCTTTTCTCACTCACAATCATAAACATAAACGTCTGGAGTTAAGCTAAGCGGTACTGGGACTTCAACTGGGACCGTATGCTTTGGTCAGATGAGACCAAGATAGAGCTTTTTGGCAACAAACACTCTAAGTGGGTCTGGCGGAACACAAAAGATGAGTATGCAGAAAAGCACCTCATGCCCACTGTGAAGTATGGGGGAGGATCGGTGATGCTGTGGGCCTGTTTCTCTTCCAGAGGCCCTGGGAACCCTGTTAGGGTGCATGGCATCATGAACGCTTTGAAATATCAGGACATTTTAAATCAAAATCTGGTGGCCTCTGCCCGAAAGCTGAAGATGGGTCGTCACTGGGTCTTTCAGCAAGATAATGACCCTAAACATGTGGCCAAATCTACACAGAAATGGTTCACCAGACACAGAATCAAGCTCCTCCCATGGCCATCTCAGTCCCCAGACCTCAACCCCATTGAAAACCTGTGGAGTGAGCTGAAGAGGAGAGTGCAGAGGAGAGGACCCAGGTCGCTGGATGATTTAGAGAGATTGTGCAAAGAGGAATGGTCGAAGATCCCTCTTCCTGTATTCTCCCATCTTGTGAAACATTATAGGAGAAGATTAGGTGCTGTTTTGTTGGCAAAAGGGGGTTGTACAAAGTATTAACATCAGGGGTGCTAATAATTGTGGCACACATGATTTGATGTAAAAGAATTATTTCTTAATGTGGGATTTTTTTCCCACTGAATAAATGCACTTGAATTAAAGGTTGGATTTTCCTTTTTTTTCATTGGTCCTATATTATTTAGAAAAAAACTGAATTTATTAGAAGCTAAAGAACACATCTTAACCAGGGGTGCCAATAATTATGGAGGGCGCTGTACATAAATTTGTGCAATATGTGTTTGAGCGTATTTCTGTGCATTTCTGTGAGTATGGAGATTTATGTTTTTGTTCATGCATGTGTGCATACGTATGTCGGTGTTTTTGTCTGTGTGTGTGTATATATACCCATGTGTGCGCGCACGCGCGCGCGTGTGTGTATATATGTGTGGGTGGGTGTACGTGTGTGCTTGTTTATTTGTGTGTCTGCGTGCGTGTTCATGTGTTTGTGTGAGACGTCTGTTCATGGTCATTTGTGTGTTTGTGTATGCAAGCGTGCATCTGTTCAAATCAATAGCCAACTGGTGCTGTAAAGCTGTCCACTGGGTGAGATAAAGCTGGGGTTTGCCTCGCAATCAAGAGGATATGATCAGCGCTGCAGAGCCCTCTTTCAGGTTTGTTAAATTTCACCTCTAAAAGCAGAGCACAGACCGAATCAGCACAGGAAGATCACAGCTGTGAGAACAGACAGTCTCTCATACTGCATCAACAGCACTCAACAGTCTGGCTGATCTTTTTCAACAGGTATAAATCACGCAAAGCCACATATGAAGCCCAGCATATGGGAATTTGAAAGCCACTCAATTCTCTATTTACCTCCTCCATTGCTTGAGTACGGTCATTGGGAATCTGTGCAGGGTCGCGGTTGGGCTGCAATATTGCCTTCAAATAATTCAAGTTTGAACAACTTTGTCTATGATGACCACAAATGTGTTTGATCCTGAGAATGTTCAGGATCAGGTTTCCATGTGATTACAATCATGACACAGCTCTCTCCTCCCTCATTTTTCTGTGTCGTCTCTCTTTCCGCCGTTTATCGGCAAGCAGGCAGACAGCACCTGATCAGCAACAGACAGGGTCTGTGGTCAGAAGACAACTTTTTACCGGTTACTGACAACATGACTCGAAGTCTGTTCTGGAATCAGCTTCATCAAATAAAGCCTCAAGGCACTAAAGAATATTATTTTACTTAAACCACTAAACATAAAGTGCTCTGATGCTGGTCAGCATTTTTTTTTACTCTTTTCAGTTCCTTTTGGAGATGTCCTTCCCAGCAAAAGAGTTCAAAATTCATGTCTACCCTCCTGGTACCCGCCACCCCCTCTGCCTCTGAGGCACAAGTTTTATAGCCTATCTGGCCTTCCTCACGTGGCTCTACCCTCTGTCTCTATCTGCCTTTCCTGACAGCTCTGCGTCTCGCACCAGCCAAACGCGCCAATGGCATGCGTGGAGCAACCTCACTGCCGGCCAATCAGCACCTAGTTGCTATGTTGAAAGAAGGTCTATATCCTGTCCGCGAATTGCTGAACGTCATACCCAATCTTACCGAAGAAAAAAAAAGATTATGTGTCACATTCACAAATAAACATGGTTATTGTGGGAGTACAAAAGATTCAAGATTTATGCAGTTTTTTATAGGTTTTTTTTTCCCAATTAGCAGGTTCTCTTTTTTGAATATTCAGAATATGTTTGTACCTCTGCACGAGAGTGTGGAGCAGCTTCTTCACCCAGCAGAAGACTCTTTCTTGACCACAAAGGGAAGGAAGGTATGAGTCTCACAGCCATGGCTTCTGGACACCACAGCATTGCGCCACTCACTGCCCACACTAACCAGTCACTTCTAGCACCAGCGTCACCTACTGGCTTAGTGCAGCGCTATGTTAAATTCAGCTTACCAGAACAGAGGCACCTGAGCCAGTCAAACAGACACGAGAGCGAGACTGCGTGAAATACAAAGGGAGAGTTTGTAGTCATAGCAGATCAGGCAGATAAAAAACACTGCCATAACTTTGAACAAAAACCACTGATGCTGATACTGCTATACACTTGTTTCAATAAAATTACTCTTTGCATAAGGTTTATACAGGCATAATTTCCTGGCACATGATATGATTCAGTCCAATATGCTGAGTGAAAAGCAGGGTATATGACTGTATTGGAAAAGTGCCACAATTTAATATACTGATTTATATTCTGCTTATTTAAACATTTTGTTCCAAGCAGTCGTCTTCAGAAGCCAAAATTCTGTCATTAATCACTGTGCGTATGAAAATATACCTTTGAACCCCAAGGAAGTTTTGATCAGTTACTTTTAAAATTTAAACTTGTAAAACTCACAAACAGAAATGCCAGTATCCCAAGCAAGAATTGTCAAGGACTCCCAGGGCACTCATGACAACTGTGTTAAATTTTTTGGAGTGACTATTTAACCACTGATCTTTTACGTGAAGCTAGTTACTTTGGTTACATTCCTGGGTTAGAGTTAGGGTTAGGGTTAGGTAAAAGTACACAATCACGGGCATCAGTTTGTATTGGTAAGTGCTTGGGACAATGACCATTGTGTGTCAGTGTCTTTTGGAAAGTGCTGGGACAATGAAGGATTTGACATTTCACAACTTTTTTTCAGTGTGCCTGCCAGCGCTTGATTTGAGCTGAATCCAGGCGTGGCATGTTCCAGCAACTCTGATTTTGACCATAATCCCTTGTTAGAGTTAATATTGTTCCAGCATTTAGTGAACAAATAAAGCTGATCAGCTGCTTATATACCTGGTTTATAGACCTTTCTCTGCCAGCATGCAAGAAAATGTTGAATTCAGCCATTTAGAAAAAGCCTTCCTTTGACAAGTGCACACACGCAAGCAACAAGAACCTATGATTCTGAGACAATGCCTGCATTCGACTGGTAGTTGCCGAGAAGTAAAAAATGTTCTCCGCCCACCTGCGCAGTGACAGATTGTAAATGTTAGCCAGTCTGCCAGACGAACGAGTTTTTGAGATCTAGACAGTGGAGCTCCTACAACGGGGGAATCTCTCAAGAAAGAGGATGTAGAGAAAACCAGCACCATGCTGTCATAAAAGAAAAAGAAGCAAAGAGAAGGGGATGCTTTGTATATTTTTCCTTGTTTTCGCAGTTTGCGGTAATTCGTAATGCAAATTACAAACATAATTGCCTATCATAAAATTGCAAACCATTTGGAAGATCTTTCGAATCAGCATGATCACCTAACCAGAATACAGGTACTTGAGTATATTTTCTTCCCCGTACTACTCACGATACCATCCAAAAATTGAATATGTGATACTCAAATTACCCAACAACTAGCGTAGCCATTTGCCATTCATGTGCTTCGGCAATGTTTTCTGCTACCTCACTAACTTCATGCAGGTTTCTCACTGATGAGTAAAGTAACCACATTTTTGTGCTTCTGATACCAATCAAATCATTCAGAAACATTTATAGAACACCATTTCTTCGTGACAGCACCAGTCAAATGCGGCCATTGAAAAACCCCTCAGAGGGGTGATAAAGGCAATAAAGTTTATTTTTTGTGCATGCGCAGTTGCGGTTATCAGTCATTAGGAGATGAAGTAAAGGAGCTAAATTCATACAGTCAACATAAAAATATTTTTGACCTTGTATCAATAGGAATTTAAATTCTAAAATACAGCTAATCAGCGGAAAACAATCTCGACTAACTAAAGAGGCAGGATAGATTGGAAGATAGGACTAGTTTGTTTTATTTTGAGGACGTTATTAAACGCCAAACCGTTTTTATCGTACATACAACCAGGGCTGCTATATATCTCAAAGCAGCCCACCTGAGCGAGGTATCACTATTTCAAGCATCTTG